GTGTTTTAGCTGATCAGCAGCGTTTTTACTAGCTACAAATGCTTGTGCACCATTTTCAAATATACGATATTTACTTTTCGTTGAAATAGTTAATTGCTCGCAGAAAAACCTTATGAAAGACTAAACCTTGAAGAAATAATCCATTTCCATTTCATGCTGATTTAAAAAAAGAATTAACTTGCAGAAAATGCCAACCTATTTTTAATTTATATTCTCCATGCATCTCCCCTTAAGTATCTTACAAGTTTCACGTGAAAAAAATATTTATCCTATCTTCAATGAAGACTTGATTTATTTAAGCTTTTCTAGGTTTTACGATCAAATAATCCTTTATAAACTTTTTTAAAACTTAAGTTTTCGCTGCGTATGTCCCTTTCTACCATTTATTTTGAATAAATAAACATTGGAGAGAATTATTAGAGTTTGTTTATAATATGCATATACATAAATCACTATTCTGATTATTTTAATAAAATAAGTTAAATAAAATATTTGCAAATCTTAAATGATAAATGAAATTTAGTTAAAATGGTTTGCTTACAGATATTCACCATCCATAAATGGTTATAAGCATCAAATCAGTTAAAATGGTAGTTCATAGTTTGGGCTTGTGGCAAACCGACGTAAACATAAAGAATAGAGACCATGGAGTGCGAAAGCACACGTCTCCTTGGAATGCGCCAATGACAGAAAGCCATTTTTTGGTATTCAAAAGCCGTTTATGTTTATGTTTGATTACAGTTTGATTCCACACCGTATTTTTCTGTACAGGTATGGAATTTTCAGCATGCGATATCGGTAGCCCAAATTTTGCAGGCCGACCATAAATATCAGGTGTGCGTCGGCAGGGGATCAAACCCCGGACCATGTGCATGGTCGGCGAGAGTCCTAACCACTGTGCCACCGACGCACAGACAAATTACAGAGAGAAATAATAAAATGCATTAAAGAGGATAGTTTACCCTGACATGACTCAAAAATGGATCCTAGTTGTGATGAAGGATATCCGAGTTAAAGTTAAACCAGTTTCTATGCATACACTCGTTGAGATGAATGAAAATGACATTTTTCGTGAGTCATTTATCGCTATATTCCTGTTCTTCGGCCTTCCCTAAAAGTCGTCGGTGGAATTAGTATACATTCAAGTGATAGGGTCTGCAAAGTCATCTGAATGATTGATACGAGGAAGGATGAATCCTAACTTTGATAACCGACTGTATTCTGATCATTTGTCTGTATGAATTATACTACCTGGAATTTCCAACCGTTGCATAATAGATAAGAGTGTTTCCGCTCTACGATTTGGGGTTAACGACATGATTCCTTTACCCACGCATTATTTGCACTGGGGTGACTGCAGTCATCATTCTCCCTTATCAAGACAGTTTCATCTATAAGAAAAATAACCCCTTCTCCTTCCAAAAGCTGTGGTATTGATCTTTCATGACGCTGTGTACCCACAATGCTGATACCGCTGGCTAGTAGAAACCAACTAATCTGCAGTGTGGGCAGGCGTGAATGTCGCTTCAGTCTTCACTACCAAATAATTTCAGATGGAAATTATTTTAATCGACCACAACTTCAGTTTCCAAAAGAAAGACCCTAGAAATTATTGAAAAAATGTGTGATTTCAAATTTCAAACTCAAGACCCCTTTTGCAGTTTGCAGATCTGAATAAATGCCCATCATCTGCGTTTGAAAGGCGATATATATTCGTACAACCTCCACAACAGCATTCGCAACTACGTGCAGTTAATCCACTACTCAAACAATACTAAGAAACATAGTCCGGATGAAATGTATACCTCATTTTGTTCATAGTGTTCATAATGACACTGTAATATTTATATCGGTTTCTGTAATCCAAAGAACATTAAACGTTCAATATCATTGGAGCGTTCGCACTCCATGATTGCTATTCTTTGGGTCAGCCCAAACCAATAACTGTTGCAGAATTTCGTGTAATTGGCTCCCTTTTATAGATTTTTGGAAAGGAAGACCAACAAATATGGTGGGATGAACTGAATTCGTTTTCAGTTGATGTTCTGTGTATCCTCCACAAGCGAATTAAATAATTTTAATAACTTTTAATTTATGTTATCACTATCAAATGCAAATAATTTGATGTAGTTCAGAGGTAAAACCAACGTGAATCTAGTATTTTCATATGATCTGATTATTTCCAACAATAAGATTACACTGAAAACCGAGGATCATTAGAGGGCTGTTACGTCCTCTTCGTAGACTTCTCAGAGGTGCGCTGCTATAGATTCACCAAAAATGTTATTCAGGAACCGGGTAGTTTAACAGTCAAGCACACTAGTTGAGGGGTACCCTATATCACAGACTGATAGAGTTTAAAGTTCCAAAGTCACTGGATTCCAAACTAGTGACTTAATGTTTAACATGCCTGTCTGATATTGTTTAACCAATGAAGGGACACTACTCAACAGTCTTGAGCAGGGATGAGACAGCTATCTAGTGCTTTCCACTGCTCTCTCCGAATGATGTCGTTTTGCGTAAAAGTCGGAAGTGAAGGAGAAAATCTAGATAATCAGCTTCCTGCTTACTTATAAGCACATTTGTACCATTCAGTACATTACTTTTGATTATGATATCTTTAATATTGTACCTAGTGACTGTGAAATGCCTCAGTGGGGTAAACCGCCAGGCCATTTCATGTGTTAATATATGTGTAAAACTTGGGCACTGTGTGTTCATCATTAATAAACTGCGAAAGAATAATGGGTTCCTTAAATTACTGATTGAATATCTTTATTTATGTTATTTTTCGCAGTGTTTTTGTCACATACTGAAGATAATATACGCATAAATAAGTGTTGATGCTTAAAAAAAATAAACAAACCACATCTCCGGGTATTCTTTCCAAATGTTATTTTCATGTCAACAAAACACAGGTACACTTATCATTGTTTATGTATTTACCTCCCCTTGAGAAGGTAAACAAGTCATACAAACAAACGAAATACCAGTAATTGTGAATATATGCCCTTTCAAATACTCAGCTTTACTGGTATATATATACTGGTATACTGGTTTCAATTTAAAAATTCCTGGTTTAGTAAGTTACGTCAGAATTAAAGATAGGTGTTGGTCAGCGAATTTAGAATTCAGTGACCACGTTATATCGTAAACTGATAGAATTCTAATCGGTTATTTATTATTAACTGGTGTTGAATGAACTGAATTCACAATAAAAGGCAAGCGAAACTATGGGAAGCATGAAGGGTTTGTTGATGATGACAGTCTCTGATGACATTTATAAAAATAAACCATCTATCTAATGAATGGGAATTAAAGCCCTTACATAAATATTATGGTTGAAGGAATTTTTTAAGAAATAGTGTGTTAGTGTTAGTATATTGTATGAAATAATGTTAAATAAAGTAGTGTTGCCCTGGGAAACTCGTCAGAAACTAGATGCCTTTGATTAATTTCACTCTGTGTATCTGTTAGTAAACTAACACGATGAGGATCGATTGCACCACATTTAAGCGACAGGAATTCTCTCGCTATTAAATTCTGCATGTTATTTTATTCACCAGTTAGCCTGACAATCACTGTAGTCAACCTTCAGTATAGATGTATGTCGGTATTATCGTTGAGTTCTACACAACTTGGAAGCAGCTGTTCATTGCTTCTTGATGTTTAATTATTCTCTAAGGACTATTGTTGAAGATGAAGTCCACCTTGAAATAAATGAGTTAACCACAAAAACAATATGTGTGTCGAATTTTTGTCACGACTTGTCCTAATGTATAAGAATAGTCAGTTTTTCAGTGACATCAAGGGATTTACTGTGTTAAAGCTATTTCGTTTTATCTGTATCGAAAGTGTGCGGTACTTACAAAGTAGAAAATACGATTTAAAAACGAAGTTAATAACTCTGATATCATACCAAAATGGGTTCTTAATTCTATAATGTATTTGCAAACCATGTCATGAAGACTACTTCGGCATCTAGAAGATTTGAGCAGTTGCCTAAAATACTCACCTTTTAGTACTGTGGTTATCCAACTCTTTTATCCTTTAATATACAATTTTTACGGGTCTTTTATTACTGTCATCTTGAGAACAATATCCATTATATAACCAAAGGAATATGTACAAAGTTAATTTATATTATCTTTAGTCTATTTTAGCTATCAATAAGAAAATACTTAGGGAAGTGAACAACAATGGATTAGAACTAAAGCTAGCATCATGTAATAGTGTCATCCGTTAACAGTTTTCCTAGTAGTGTATCATGCGACATTATCGTTTCTCAAGGTATTTAATGGGGATATTATTCTAGTGTACACGATGGCTGTGCGTCAGTGGCTAAATGATAGAATGTACGTCAACCACACAAATGGCACAGACTTAATTCCTGTACATCTCATGCTTGAACCTCGCTTAGCGTATAGTACGCTAGGTAGAGAAGGGAGGTTGTTTTAGGAGTTAGCAATCCCACCCCACGGTTAAAGCTTAAATCCTGAATCTCTGTGTTCCTCTCAGAACAAAAAGAAGAAAAATACAGGATAGGTGCATATCTATTCTAAATTACTACACTCTCTCCGTTTGCTTACTTCCGGAGAAAATCTTCTGCTGAATATCATTTTCCTAGCTTTACTACAAAAGCAGTTAACTACACAACAGATATACCAAGCTGACAAATATACATGTTAAGGTGAGTCTCATATTACGGTGTAATCATAAAATTTAGCTTTCAATTGTTAAAAAGCATCGAAATGTGTGATTAGCAGTAGAAAAGGACGCTCGGGATTTTATTCATTCACATATTTCTCTTTTCACTCAGAACTACATTAATAATATATTCATTTATCGCCATCGATGAAAAAGTATTTATTATAAATATTTAACACATTTTGTATTTAAAACATAATAAGTAACAATGTAGACTAATGATACTATTCAACACTTAACTTTCTAAAATTATCTAATGTTATCTATTTCCCGTACTTTTATCCCTTACACAGCTGATGGAACCGGTGGAGGCATAATCAAATTCTCTAAAAATTATTATAATTTACACGATATTGATGAACCACTGGACAAACTTATACCATTTCCAAATGAAGAGGAATTAAACAGCCTATTAAAAATACAGTCTAACACTGATACTACTACTAATAATAAAAGATTAATTGAAACTGAAAATATACACTGGATTATACTAGGAGGTGTACTTGGCGGTGCATTAGTTATTATGATTGTTATTACAATGGTTCTGTTAAGCCGATGTCGTAGAGCAAAGACTTCTACTAGTTTAACTAAAAGGTAAGTCAAATGTGTCTACAGTGTTTTTGCATTTCCCTGCTGTTTTTTTTTGCATATTTACAGCTTTCTACTCTCTTGTTCTATTCATCGTACAACCGATATGATTTATTAATTAACTGTATTTATATGCGATAAAAAAGGTTGCATATAAATGTATGGGTGTATCATATTTGATTATAGTGATGATGATGATAATAATGCTTGCATGTATGTTTTGGCGCCATTTGATATTGAATAAGTACAGACAAAAATACACTAAGCAAAGTACTTTTATAATAAACATAAGAATTTTTATTGAATGGTAGAAACATGGCTATTGATTAATGATATCCAAGTGAATGTATTTCACGATCTTAAACAAAATTTATATGTGGTAACTACAGCTGCAAGCATGGCTTACATCTCAGTGACGTGGTATTATTTTTGGTGAAACTTATATTGAGTAAAGAAGAAAGATAGGTGGGACTGCTGTTGTAATTCTGAGTTCTTTACAAACTAGCAGGCAAACAAACAAACAAAATTGTCGGAAGTGTTCTGTTTGATGTGTTGTTACTAGAACAATTAGATTTTTATGAGGTGTTTTCATGTTTAAACTTTATTTGAGCAAATACAAACTCTATGAGTCATTCAATTACTCCAGTTAATTAATAATTTTAATGATTGTCCAGTTGTGATGATTTTTGAAAAATGAAATAGCTCTTCTACATGTCGGTTTCCTTTGATGATATACTCATTTCATTTTGACATTTTAGTTGTCATTTTCCGTGGCACTTTTCAAATTTTATTGAAAATACCACAGTAACAAAAAAAATATGAAAAACTCTGAAAATAATTCAACCAGAACATGTAAATTTAAGGATATGAGTAATTATCATCAACTGCACATTTCACTGAGTAGGTGCACTTTGAGAAATGACTTTTCTGAAAGTTAGACAATGGATGGAGTGATTCCGTTTGGCTTTTTTTCACGAAGACTGCATTTATTGCGGTCAGTGTCTTTTGTCTTACTGATTCAATGGGCTCAATCTTATGAATACTGCTAATTTAGGAGTATTATATTTATTGAATGGTGCCTAGATTAGTGTCTATACTGTTACCGTTTCATTCTATTATCTGGCTATAAAAGGGACAATAAAAGTTATCGCAAATGAAACTTGCCACTCTTTTGTCTCAATACGCGTGTAACGGAAGAAGACAAGAGAATCAGTAACGGACTTTTTTATCAAGGAAAACATTTAATATTTATACATTTTAGCTACATTTATGGTTAGCAAAGTCATCGGATAATAAACCGTTCTGATTGGTTGTAAATTTTTTCTTAGGTTAAACCTTGAGACAAAAAGTTGTCCAATAAGATTATTTCCCGGCCTCAACGTAAGCTAAATCCAAATTTGAGGAATATACACTTCTACTGCTGCAGTCATTGACTTATAATGTTTTTTTCAACATTGGCTTCTTCCTATGAATCTGCGCCTACATACTACTGATAAATCTCCTCAGCATCATACGCTACATACGTTTGTAGGCCATTTACGCCTTGAATTTCCTCAGGTATTTGATTTTGTATAAGATGCCTAGAGGAATGCTGTAATCGAATTAAATGTTATGTTTGGCTGTTTCAAAGGTGTTGTCACAAATTTTCCACATAGCTTGAATATCTATTGTGATGTTTATCGTAGTATGCGCGAAAACACCTCACCACAGCCTTTACCCTTACCCCATATAAAATTTATATTTGTTTTCACTTTGTTCATCTTCCTTTTTATGCATTATTCATTGGTTTATATTTGACGACTACTTGAAATCATATGGGCTACTTAGCTACACATTCCAGGGTAAAAGGAATAGAAATGTGAAAAATAAGAGTTTCACAATATTGAGCTTACTTATGCGGGAATTATATTCGATTTCCCTTTCTTTGAGACCTTATTTTCAAGGTAAATTTAGAAACACACGCAGATACTACAGGAGATAAAGAAGTATTTAGCTTATTTTGCTTGAACTTTAGTTACAGATTTTGAGAGAGAAAAGTCAAAGATTGTCGTCTAATAATCACTATGCCATAGAAGAGTTGGTGAAACACAGATATGTAGCCAATAGAAATAAAACAGCTGTTCAGCGTTTCGTGGTCCCTGCTGTTTCTGCAATCTTTGTCAGGTTGTGAAGAAATCTATCTTGAAATTAATGAAACCGCTATAAATTCGTCTTATTTACTCATTCTGGTGGTGATGAGCCGTGATGAGGCATTAACTAGAAAATGACACTTAAGACAACATATTTTGCCGCTTATAGTTTAACAGTGATTATAGAATTCTCGAATTTCATTTTTTGTTGCATGCAGTCTTCTTACTCCTAAATAATCGGTTGCAATTTGGATTCAATAAAAAAGGGTTATCACATACCTGTACTGAACACTACTGACTGTCAAGTAGTTTCAATCGTCTATAACAATGTAATTCATCAAAATCAATGATTTTACGAGTTGATATCAGTTAGAGAACCATTGAAACCCAGGGAGTACTGCACAGCTGTTCCATGCTGTTTTCGGAATCATCGGCAGATCCTGGGTTCGAACCCCAGTGAGTGCGTACTACTGATGATTCTCAAACCAGGACGAAACAGCTGTCCAGCACCCCTTGCTGATTTTCAATGCTTCTCTAACTAATATCAATCCGTGATTAACTGGTGAAAACAAAACTAATCGTTACAAACCAACCATAGAAACTTAATCTGATGCTTGCTAATGACTTGCTACAGGGTTGAGTTTCCTGGAGTTCTAGTGAGAAGTCATGACCAGTGAGGTCCAGCCAGTCAAGTGTGAGGATGAATGTCCCACTGACGACACAAGTTGGGGTCGCGCTAAATCACAAATTGGTGAAGGTTAGAACTCATGAGCCATTGAATCGGGTCTCAGTGGCTGAATAGTTTACGAGCTTGCCTTGTAACCAGAAGGTCCTGGGTTCGAATCCTGGCGGAGGGTGTGCACTGTTGTGGAAGAATTCTAAACTAGGATGAAACAGGTGTCCAGTACCCCCCGGGTTTTCAATGCTGCTCTAACTAATGTCAGTCTGTGATCAACTTGTAAAAACAAAGCCAATCCCTACAAACCAGCTATAGAAAATCAATTATATATCAGCGTTAAAATCGACTTCGGAGATTTTATGTGGGATCAGTCAGTGAAGAATACTCAAATATGCCTAAACAGTAACTGTGTGGGAGTTTAATTCCCTCTTTGATATAGTTAGAAGCCATTTTTCATTACAGTCAACATATGTTAGTTATGTCTGTCAGATTGCATTACCCAAAATAAGTGTCAAAATAAAGCCATCATTTTTAATTCGATAACTAACTGACTTTGGTTATAGAACCCTTGAAAATTAAGAAGTACTGAAAAACTCCTTCGTCCTATTTCAAAACTCTTCAGCGCAATCTAAGCCCATGATCACAGCAAGGGCCGAACCCAGGGTCTCCAGACTACAAGGTGAGCCCATTGACCATGCAGCCACTGAGATGGTATCTTACAGTCTGCGTATTATAACTTCTGCCAATTTGCCGTATTATAATCATCATTTTCCCCCAATTATTCGAATGAATAAAGGGATACCAATTGACTAAAATGGCTAAACTACATCATTTTTTACGTATATTCGCTAGGCCAAATAGCTGTTTTCTTTTTTCCACACAACTATGACTTGTCTCACAGAAATAATTGAAATTAATTATTTATCCTATCGTATCTGTCGGACTCGATAAAGAAAGAAGATAAAATTCTGAGTCACATATTTCTTTTTATATGGTATATATTTATGTCAGAAAAGCAAAAACTCATTCCATATATTTATGCGTAGATATTCTGGATGAGTCGATGTGTCAAAAGAAAAATTGAAAGAAAAATTTGTAAAGAAGAAAGTAAAACCAATTATTCTATAAGAATTGGTTTAACTCATGTTCACTACATATATAGAATAAAAGAGCAAGGACAATGACACTGACGAAATAAATCTTAGTATGTTACAACTATATTTTTTTATGCTGAGAACAGCTTGTTTCATCTGCAGAAAATGTAGACAAATACATCATGTCAACAAATATGACTCAGAGATTGTGTTCCTATAGATTGGAAAATTAAAGAATCAAAATAAACAGAATTTCTATGCCAAAGGAAAATCCTATCATCAAATGTCTACTGGTCAAAAGTATGCAGTGGCTTATTTTTTCATTATATGATTGTAATTTATGCATACCAAAGTCTAGACAGACGAGATTTAATCAGCACACAGACAGTGAGATATTTGTTTCATCAATATTAATTATCATTCATATTCTATTGATATACAAAGTGTTAAACTTTGGAAAGATATCTAGATGGATAAACTAACTTCCGTTGATAGTAGATTAAGTCCTATATTGGAATCTTTCTACTTATATATATTTTATACTGTTTGGAAAACATCCCATGTTTTTGTAATAAAAATTAATTCCTCTAGTCAATTCCATTAAATATTTCGATGTCTTTAGACTGAACTTATAGTTGTATAATGTTGCATATAAGTGACAATCAGTTATTGTTCTTCACTGGATGTTTTCAGGGACTCTAAGTGACGCGGAGTATATTCCCTAGATAAATAATCTATACTTCTGTTAGGAATTTTACAGAGACTTAGGAATGAACACAGTATCAATACACACAAATGATTGCAGTAGGCAAGCAAATTTATTGTAAAAGAATAAACGTTAAAATGGCACTTAGAGTAATAATAATTGCAGTAGTAATATTCAGGTATTGATTTTATAGGGATTTCGGTTGATTGGTTGGAGGATTTCATCATGAGTTGACATCAGTCAGAAAACCATTGGGAAACCAAGGAGTACTAGACAGCTGTTTCGTCCTAGTTTGGGATTCTTCCACGTCAGTACACACCCACTACTAGTGTTCGAACTCACGACCTTCTGGTTACAAGGCGAGCTCGTAGACTATTAAGCCAGTGGGATCCGATCCA